CACCAATTGGTTTTAAGAAAGATATGGCTGCTATTTAACCACAGAACTCTGGAGTTAAGCGAGCCCGGGGTAAGAAAGCCCAAGGATGGGTGACCCACTGGGAAGTTTGTCGACAAGGGGTGAATCGATCCAACAAGTGGTATCAGAGCGAGGTCACAGGTATCATATTCAGGGGAAAAGTTTTAATTTTATATCATACTACATATTTATGTGATCTCTATAACATATATAGTCATAAAAAATAAGATAAAATATATACAAATGGATCAGCATAATCACTAATCAAGACTAGCCAACATTTTTCAATAGAATAAATTGATTTTACATACCGGTCCATAGAGCCATTCATAACATTTTCAATAGAAGAAATTGTTTTTACATACTGGTCCATAGAGCCACCCAACCAAGGTTGTTAAAATCGTATTTTTGAATCGAATCGGTAGATGTTTTTGAAAATCGAATCGTAAAATCGAATCGCAAATCATAAGATTTTATCAAACATATTTTAATAATTGTAAAATAAATAAATATTAAAATTAAGTTGCAAGTTAATGGTATTATTTCATTTTATTACATACCACTATACCTACAAGGTCAAAAACAAGATTTATAAACTATTTTTATATTGTAAATAGAGTGAATAATAACATTAAACATATGTAAAACATAAAAATAATTAAATAACACAAGAATCCAATACTTTTTTAAATATACTATTGATGTTATTATTATTGAAATTTTGTATCAATTTGTAGTAGTTAATTTTAATAAATTTGAACCATTTTCACTAAAAAAACTTATTCCGATTTTGCTACGATTTTGATACGATTTTATACGATTCTACACGATTTTTGTACGATTTTGTTACGATTTTGTACGATTTTATGATTTTACGATTTTACCTGCGATTTGAATCGATTTATTATTGTAGAATCGTAAAATCGTACGATTTTACGATTTAAATCGAGATTTTAACAACCTTGCACCCAACGATTGTAAATCAAATCTCTTCTCAATTACTCCATAATCCTTTCTCTTTAGGCATTTCTAGTCAAATTTCCGTACGCTGTCATGACAATATACCAACATGTTTATAGATAATATTAAAATCTCAAAAAAATCAATTCAAAACCTAAAATCTAAATACAGTCACAAATCAAATTAACAAAATAACTAATTTAGTAATACCAATACAATCATATTAATTATTTAACTTTACGATCACACTAACACACTTGTAGTCGGTATTTAACATTTGCATTTAACCATTTAGAAATTTAAGTATAAAACTCATACAATACTAAAAAGGTGACAACTCCGGTACCCAACTAAAAAATGAGGTACCGTACCTACCATTCATTTGATTGGACCACACCACTTTATCATTTTTAATTTAGATTTAAATAATTCAATTGCTATTAAATTCTTGGTGGATTTTGTCCACAATTGAATTCTGGTCCATTTGGCTCTTGCAACATAGATTCGTTTGCTAGGGAGTGGGGATTGGGAGGAATCACTAAATTCGAGATGGGAAGGGATTTGTTCGCCGTTATTGAGTTTTTTTTATGGAATTGAGTTTAGGAGTCGTATTCTACACTTCCACTTCCTCCAGTCACTAAAAAATTAATGCCTTAAAATTAAATTTTCACATGGAGTATTACTAATAGAAAAATGTGTCATGTACATACTTGTTTGTCCCTCCGTCCCAGGCAGGGCGGTCCTGTCCATTTATGGGCCTATGAGTGATACGCTAATTCGGGCGTATATTCAAGATAAACGTAAATCATATACTTATTTTACATATAAATTATAATAAAAGTATTTAACAAAGTTCACAAAATAAAGGTGAGGATCACATTATTATTATTATTATTATTATTATTATTATTATTATTATTATTATTATTATTATTATTATTATTATTATTATTATTATTATTATTATTATTATTATTATTATTATTATTATTATTATTATTATTATTATTATTATTATTATTATTATTATTATTATTATTATTATTATTATTATTATTTAAGTTACATAGTTAGACAAAAGTAACAACACGAGTATCAAATAAAAAAGAAAAAAATTACTTAAAAACGTTTCTTGTAGAACAATGTGAAGCAAAACTCATAGACAATCTTCTTTCCACTAATAAGGATGACAAACAATAAAAATATCACATATTACAACACTAAACTTTCTTTTAGTTACAACTGAAAAGATAAATGAAAATAAATACTATACTACTAGTTACTACATATTGAATTTATAAGTTGAGAATGATTTATTGACCGCTAAGAATTTAAAGCTTAAGGTCTTGAAAGAATGAAGGTTTTCAAAGGGACAAAATGTTTGGCCGCCAAGAAGATTGCCCATTTGTCGTCTTCTTTAACTACTACTCCATTAGGAACTCAGATATAATTTTTTCGATCAATTTGGAAACAAATAAATAATTGGGATGAGATTTAGGAGCCATGGGCTCTAAAATAATTATATAAATTTGTTATGTTATAATTAAAATGAATAAAAAGCCTTAAAGGCTAAAGAGATGTGAAGAGTGAAGAGACATGTCTTTTATTGATCCAACAACAGTTGTATTGCTTTTAAAAACTAAAACCGGTTTTACTTAAAATTAAATTAGTGTATATAAATTCTTTATTAAACTTGGCTTTGTTTAAAAAAATTATATATGTTTTAAATTTTCAAATTTTCAATAAAATTAAACATTGGGACTAATTAATTGAACTTAAGAATAAAAGAAGAAGCCTACTCACACAATATACAAAGAAAAGATTTTGGGCCTATTTCTTCTTCTATATTTTTTCGGGCCTAGGGCGGTCGCCCCTGTTGCCCTCCCTCCCAGAACCGGCCCTGGCACTCATTTGGTCCCGACGAGTGCACAAAAAAGTGTACACATTATATTTTTACACCTAACACATCTCATTACTAATACTACCTACTTATTTGAGGCTCTCCGCTGATGCAAGACCCTAGGCAACCGCCTGGGCTGACTAGCCCATAAGCCGACACTATTGGACATGTAAAGGATACTACTCAAATTACAAGTATGGGGGTGTTTGGAACTGATTCTGCTTCTACTTCTTTTTTTTAAAGCAGAAGCAAAAATCAGAATTAGTTTTCAGAAGCTGGTCCCCCCAGCTTCTAAAATACTGATTGTAGGAGTAAATTAGAGCACCAGTATCACTTCTGCACTTTCACCCAAACACTCCAGCTTCTGCTCCCTGAAGGAGCAGAAGTAGTTTTCAGAATCAGATCCAAACACCCCCTATGTCGAAGATCGAGTAATAAATAAATAATTTTAAAAAGACTATACATGCACCTAAATAAAATATACTTTTTCAAGAGAAATTACTATGGCATTAATTAAATGGACTTCAAATCAATTACATCCTTAATACTCCCTCCGTCCCTAAAAGAACTTCCAACTTTCCCTTTTCGTCCATCCCAAAAAGAACTTCACTTTCCCTTTTTAGCAGAGAATTTGTGGTTCACAGCAATTCGTACACATTTCTCTCTCCTCTGCACAACTCTCCACTACACAATTTCCACTTTCTTAATCTGTGTGCCATTTGTACTACGGAAGAACATTTATGGACGAAGGGAGTATTTTTTAGACATTGCCCTCAACGCTCGTGAATTACTAACATTGTTTAGCCAAGCCTCTCCTCCTCCTCCTCCTCCTCCTCCTCCTCCTCCTCCTTTCCCCACCCCACCCCCTCGATTCTCCCTAGATTCGTTAATCCCATATCAATTCGATTCCAGAAGTTTCTAGAAGAACCGATATAAGAATCAGTATTAGTACACCCGTGCAAATAAATAAATATTTTAACTATTATTACACCAGTGTACGTTGACAGTTAACCATTAAGAAAATAAATATTTTAACTATTACTTTCTTTCATTATTACATCGCTAACACATAAAAATATAATTTCAAATTAATAAATATATAACCGTAAACAGGAATACAAAATTTTACAAGATAGAAAAGAAAAGAAAACAATTATTAAGAAGAAAAGCTCAATTGGATCTATGCTTGTACCACATGTAGCAATGAGTGTAACAATTAATGTTCCTACTCATTAATAAAATGACCAAAATTCTTGAGCATTCTTGAAGTTTTTTTAATAAAAATAAATTTGGATTCTTATGCTTCATTTATTCTTATAGAGCCCTGTGTTGCTATATAAATTACATCTCTTTTATTTATTTATTTATTTATTTATTTATTTATTTATTTATTTATTTATTTATTTATTTATTTATTTATTTATTTATTTATTTATTTATTTATTTATTTATTTATTTATTTATTTATTTATTTATTTATTTATTTATTTATTTATTTATTTATTTATTTATTTATTTATTTATTTATTTATTTATTTATTTATTTATTTATTTATTTATTTATTTATTTATTTATTTATTTATTTATTTATTTATTTATTTATTTATTTATTTATTTATTTATTTATTTATTTATTTATTTATTTATTTATTTATTTATTTATTTATTTATTTATTTATTTATTTATTTATTTATTTATTTATTTATTTATTTATTTACTACATATTTGTTTGTTTGTTTGTTTGTTGTTTGTTTGTTTGTTTGTTTCTTATCATACTCCGTATTATACATAGGAAATTACTCACAGTAGGACTAAAACATAGCACTTTTCTTAAAGTATGATCATATGTTTGATTTTTCTTAAATAGGATCTAACATTACATACTTACCTCTAATTTAATTAATTAATTAATATAATTAATTGTCCCTAGTCCCTTGCATAATCAAAGGCATTTTGTTGGGGGCGGATCAGTCCGACGACGACAGCGGGAAATTCTGATGACGGAGGTAGACAGACACAGATCAGTAACGACGATCTAGGTGAAAATTCTAACGATCAGCAGTGGTGGTTCACATTTAAAATCGGATATCATAAAATATGGGATACGAAAACGAAAAAATCGGCATAAAATCGGGATGTAAAAATTGGAATCCATCCCCAATAATCCAATATTGTTCCACGCCCCAGAATGCAAATTTTTTTAATTTTTACATTCTGATTGGAGTGAAATAAAATTCCGATAAACCCTTCAACGGACCGAAAACCGATTTCTGCAGAAGAATCTCAGTGATATCGATTGTTCAATATAAACCAAAACAATATGTCTAGTCGAATTCCTTTGTACAGAACTTTCCGTTTGCGGCAGCGGTTCAGGACCACCGGCTCGTCGGTTCTAAGCTATTTGGCAGCTCCTCTGTTGAGACGGAAAGCTCAGAATTCATGGGCTGCTGTTCAGGACACCTACTATTCTACCAAGGTACTGCTGCTATCACACGTATATGATTTTAAATCTGAATTTCTTTTCCTCTTCTTCTTTTCAGAATATGTCTATTACTGCTGTAGGTTAGTTGATATAATATGTGTGTTTTTTGTAAATGGTTTTGTTGCATAGGACATATTTGAGAGCCATAAGGTGGTGTTTACCATATCGACTTCAATAGCATCCGTTGCAACAGCATGGGCTGGTATTAATCTCACTGCTTATTGAATTGTTCAGTGAAGTTTTTCCTCACATGTTTTCTGACAGGTGTTGCATAAAAGTTATGGCATGCCTTATGTTTGGTGAAAGTTCTGCGTCAATTCGAAATAGTAACTGATCATTTTGAATGTGAAAACATCAACTACTATGTATTGAAAACTAATAAAAACTATAGGAATTCCCCCGAGTAACTAGTAGGACAAAATCTAGATTATTGTAAATGTATACTAACATGGTCTAACTTTGAATGGATCACTTAACCACCGTTGACATTTTCCATGCCATAATGTCTTATTTTCTTACACGCCTAACTTTTAGAAAAAGCCAACCCTTTGCTCTAATTTTTAAGTCCAGTCAATTGTTAAAATATTGTCAATCTAGTTGTAATCCAGATGAAATCAAGCGATGCATACCATGTCAAAAATTATGTTGAGATCCCTGTATCCCGCATTAGCAGTGATTAACATTAGCTAGCTGTTACAAAAAATGTAGTCAGCTGTAATAAACTGATGCAACTTTGCTAGGTGTTGAACTAAGCTGCTGTTAGATCTTTAACACTAATCAAATAGTGCAGTTATAGGACCAATGGATTCATGGATCTGACGACTTTAAGTAACTTGATAACATGCCAAATATGATTAATCGACTTGCTAAAACTCTGAATGAATCCAACCAAGTGAACCAACCTAGAGTAGTTGACAATGTATGCGTTATGAGAATTGAATGACAATAAAACTGTCTAATCAAGCACCAAAGAGAAAATGTTGAGGTATGGGTTTGCGAATTTCATGGACCAAATTGTGATCTTGCAAATTAGATTTCCTAAGTGACGCGAAGTTATGTTTTTTTGGTAATTATGTCTCTCTTATATGCAATTTTTATGGGGAACTGTAGTGCTTTTGTTTGGTTAAGTCAAGACTTAGACCAAAGGTGGGGTTGCATCAGAGTTATTGAGTTGAGTTACCTCTCTTACTCATTGAATTTGCAAAGATATGTAGGAGAAATTTGTTTGTTAGTGTTTGCTTAGTGTTCATTGACGAATAGTACTCCATGTGTCCATATGATATTCTCTATTTCAGTTTACTTTTCTTCCTGACTCCCGGTTGAGCTGTTGAGACCCTGAAGATGTTTAGAGCTCATGCAGGTTATTTACTGCGCCACTATCATGAATCAAGAGTTGACCAACGGCTTGATTGTATAGAAAAGTCTGTAAGTATCTATGGCGGATAATATAGTCTGTTAGCTATTTTGGTACATGTTTCAATTGGTAAACTTGAATTCGAAGAGTTTTTACAAAACAGTATGTCAATCTGTTTTAGTAGAGATCAAATTGAGGGAGTGCCAATGCTAGTAGTTAGTGTTGCTAGTTATGCATGTAATTTAGTTTTATTTTGAATTTTTATGGATGCATTCACTTTTTAATTTCGGTTTGATGGAAATTGCAAGTTTTTTTAACTTTATGTCCTCTCTAATTTTATGTAAGAACTGGGGATGGTACAAATACCTTTGAGATGAATTACATAATAACCCTCCCACATTAATGAACTCAGTAAATTAATCAATAATCCTTTTATCAATCTTGGACACCATATTTTGATCAATATTAATGCTCCTACACTCTCAATGATGAATGACCTACATTCCCTTTAGCAATGCTTCAGAGACAAATATGTTTCTTAAACTGTAAATAAGGTGTAAAGGCGCTTTGTTTATTGCAGATGAAAAGGAAGTATGATATCGAAGACCCTGAGTTTAAGAAGCTTGTTTCAGGTGGCATCAGCATTCCTGCTTGTGTTGCAACTGCTGGAACTACGTTGATTGTTGGGTTTGTGAATCATTAGATTCTATCTTATACTATTTTTTGTCTTTGGTGCTGTTTTCTTGATAATTTCTTCACCTTATTCTTTTCTTATACTTGCTCTTATTATTAGTCAAACCAGACCAGATGTCCAGATCAGAAATATTTATACATTATCAGACCAGAAAGATATAATACCAGATGAGACCAGATCAAATATTCTGATTTGACAAGAACAGTAGACAGCATTAGAAACACTTGGGCTAAAACAGACCAGAGCAGATCTCTTTAGACAAAAGAAGTAGACAAGATCAATGACATTCAGATTAAAAAAGACCGGTCCTAAAAAACTCCTGATTAAATCATATTTTATATGCAAGGAAAACAGGTCCTTAGCTATTCACATTTCATATTTCACGCGATTCTGCAATACTTTTCATACACACTCACACGCGCGCGCACCTCATGATTAACAATGTAAAATTTGTGCAAAAACGCTGTGGATGTTTTTGTAAATAAATTGAACACTTCTGTGACAGCATAGTGAATCATTGGAAACTTAAATGTGTAGCGTGATGAACCAAGAGTGAACCGTTTTGCATCATTTTCATTTTTCATAGAAAGCATTATTTTCACCGTAACCCCGACCCGCATGCACGCAGACTCATCTTATGTGTTATCTCCATATTAGCATTTGTCTGAAAAACAAGAGAGCAGAAAGTGTCGCCTTGCAATTCATATCTGAATAAGGGGTTATTTTTTTATTGAATGTGTGTAGATATGGCTTGGGGTGGCGAGGTGGGAAGTGGTATGCAAACAAGCAGTTCAAAAGGGAACAGATGAAACTATTGGGACTAGTAAAACGAAGAAGGTGGCCTCTTAGGTTACCCCTTTCCAGGTTAAGGTCGTTGCAAGGGAGTGGTGGTGGTGCTAAAGCTCCAGAAACATCAATAGCATCTGGTGTTGCTGCACAAAGTCGAGGACCTAACCTGTAATTATTCATTACTAAACAGTCTAATTTACAACTTCATTTTCGCTTGTTGAGCGTATTAAAGATCAGCTAGCACCAAAGGTCCTTATCAGAACACCTACTCTTACTTTCTAACTAACAACACACACATAAAGCCTAATCTTACTTGCTACATACTCCGGGTTTTCAATTGGATCTGTAATGTCATATACTTGTTGCATTTGGCTCCAAAGAGGGATGTGAATTGATTCCTTTGGTCTATCTTCCATGGTTACCTTAGGAGTTAGGACTTTCAATATTTTTGTAAGGCCAACACCAAGTCATGGAAATGGTTCTCCAAATAAATATCCAATCTGCATTTTAGTTTTTAATTATTATCATTGAAGAAACAGATTAGACCAGTTCTCGAGAAGAATAAACAGATTAAACCAGCCCCATCTAATAGGACAATGTATGATAGAATGGAGTCAATGGACCTAAATGTCTAATTAATGTAACTGTATCAAACTAGCCTATGAATTACAGTGGATCTTAGCAATTGAATCCTTTAAGGGGAACTTTATTCACAATCACACAATTACTATTTATATTAGTCATAAATAATATGCACGCGTGTAAGTTATTCCATGAAATGACGCTTTGAAGCACGGCATAAACCGGCATGTGTGGGAGCATTAAATGCGCCTATTGGTGTTTGGAGAAGGTTGAGTCAAGGGGCTCAGCCCGAGTTGGACAGTTGGTGATCAGGGAATAAAGCCGAGGGGTTGCTTGGATGATGGAGACCTTGTGGAGTGTATTTGTTGAGTCCATTTTGTATGTTGTAGTTGCCACCAGTCATGCGGCGGCCTAGCTGATAGGTGGTTGGCAATGCGTTGGGCTTTAGTTGCTCGTTGGACTCGTTCTGGCATGTATGGAGAATGTGGGACGGTGGTCCAAGTCATAAGGGGTGAGGTTTCATGTACATAAGAGATGAGAAATCCCATGGGTGGTCATAAGGGGGGACGATTGCCTTGATCAGTCTCAACATGGGTATTACTTCGGGGCAAAAGGTTGGTCGTCAGAGACGATGACATGCTTAGTTAAGGAGTTCCTCTTTTGAGAACTCTGCCGCAAAATTTTGTCAAAGACGGTTAGTCATCGAACCACCTGTTTTGCCAATTTTGTGAGCTTTTGCATTGCTGCTTATGATATGAATATATAAAAAGGGAAGCTCTCGTACTAAATTTGCTGAAAAATATACGTAGTAAATATTAGAAATATATTATACATATATATACACACACGCGCACAAACATAAATATATATTGCAATCTTTTTTTGAAACAATGTATACTACAATCTTAATATTTATTAAAATATAAAATCATTATAATAAATATTTTATCGTATTAATTAAGTGACTTAATTTTCTCTTCTAGCTTTAAATTTAGAAAAGTTTGATGTTCGGAATGATCGCCTAGCCTATTTGCTATTTTAGATGACCATGGACGGAGTTTTAAAAATTTAATTGAACCAAGTAACTTGCAATATTGCCATTTTAATGTCCCCTTGACAAGTGAGTCAGTGACACCTCGTCCAACACGAGGTCTATATCCAAGAGAAAACCTCTCTCAAGGCAAGGAAACAAAGCGAACGAGGCCCGATTGCATGCACCTCATCCTATGACACCTTGTTCCACAAGACACAACTGCTGAGCAATTAGTCAACGGACGACATGTGTCGCTCTATGCATCACAATAGGGCTCGTCCCATAGATTAGCTTCACGTGTAGGTGCGTTTAATGCACCTAACACCGATTACTAGTATAAATACCCTTCTTGGGGCAGATTTAAACGGTTCTTAATCCATTTATTATCAGATTATTTTTTCTATCTAACTCGTAGCTCTCCTTTCTCTCTATAATACGACTAACGGTTTACTGGTGAGCTATCTTATTGTGCTTCATTGTGAGAAAGAACAATCAAGTTAGTACCCTCGTCACTATTAGACACTAATAACACTTCGAAAATAGGAAGGATAAAGAACTTAAAGCAAACTCTCAGGCGCTATGGGTCTCCAGGACCCTATGGTTCAGCGGGAGAAGTCTGATGATGACACGACTTCAAATGCGGCTGAGGATGCCCATCTCTCGCGGCTGACCTTCGTAATTAGATCAACAAGAACGCCCCTGATGCCCACCTCGGTATCAAAGCAAAGCACAAAGAAAGAAGTGAGCCTACCCCGAGCCACCATATCACCCCTCCCATCGACATGCAGACGACTCTCTCCTTCATTCTCACCAAACTCGCTCAGAAACTAGTATCTTAACTTTGCGTGCCTTTATCTCGTAGGCGGGAGTTAAACTAATACCTCCTCCTCCCCCCACCTCTACCACCACCGCCTTTTTCACCAACTTACTACGGGTCAACAACAATGAAGGCATCGTCCCCCAGGACAATACCTTAGAAACGCCTCCCCTCATCCAACCACGTCCAGGTCCACCTTGACCATGGTCAAACATCAGCCTTCAACAGGCTGGGCGTTCAAACACGCTGGCTGATCTCCGAGACAATCAATGCATGATACGAAGAGAAGAGGCCACACTCCCCTAGGAGAGGGTCAATGTCCCGGACAATGGACCGACAACCACTAGATAAGGGGAAGAGAAAGCACCATGATGAGAACACATGTCACAGGATCAATCAGGCGCACACATGAAGGGTGAAAGCACACCACCGGGAGGCTACAACAAGGGGCAGAGATCAAGGGACGTGGTGATCACCTAGATGAAAAGTTGCCTCACTAACATGAAAGCACAAAAGCGGCACAATAGCCAAGGCCGACCCTGATTTCGCCATCTCCGCTTTACTACTAAAGGTTGACGACCTATATTGGGAGGTGGTCATGGGCCAGGTGGAGCCCATCATCCATACATGTATGTGGACTTGTTCACCTTAAGAGTCCTCTCTATCCCAAGGGTGTGAGCCTTACAGTGGTCGAAGCAACCAATAGGAGAGGTTCAAAATCTACAAGAACAACATGCTAATGGTCAATGCATTTGATTAATACCTCTATTGTTGGTTCCTTTCCACTCTCAAGGATAAACCCCTATAAAGTCACACGTTATATTTTCTAAGGCTAAAGCAAAACATGTACCCTCGGGCATGGACAATAATTCAGCTATGAAGTGTGATAAGGAAAAAATAATGCTAAGACAAAATAACATTAAAAGCAAACATTAAAGAGTAAGTACAGGAGGAGGGAACGTAAGTCGTTACATAAAAAATAAACTATGAATCCCCCCTTAAATTGCGAGTAAGCATGTCAACAATGAAGCCAAATTCCATTCCTTTTGTCTTCTCCCCCTCGTCCTACTCTATTTTATCTTCCAAATCCTGCATTGGTTAATGTCGCCCCACCAAAGGTTTCTTTATCTCCTCATCAAGACCATTCATCTTTAGAGGCAGGCCGAACTTGGAAGGATCAAATTCTTTGATGTGCCGCTCAAGGCGATGGTGTACAAGCAACTGCTTATGCTGCTCCCCTGAGGCATAAAATAGCACACCCCTGGCATGAAGAAACTTTCGGCTAGCCATGCTCTTCTTTAACTTCTGGGAGGTTTTAGCCCCCTTAATCGAATGCCTCTTATATCGCTTCTTGGTGTCAGACGTCTTCTTAACAGGTTTGTCGGTCGCATAGTCCTTCTTTGACTCTCCGACGGCAACGCCAGATTTCCTGGCCGCCTCGACCTCTGCAACATCTCTCTCGGCCAGTACATCAACAACCACTTTCTCAACCATTTTCTTCTCAAATAGCATCTGACACGGGGACTCAGCAAGAAGAGAGGTTCTTTCTTTATCCGGATCTGCAAAAAAGCCAATGAGTAAGAACAAAGAAGAAAAACTAAGAACACAATGGCAAATTAAAATAGCAATGAAGACATTCGGCCCCGGTCACTTCGTCTTCCTGCGGCTCCTTGGTCCGCTCATTTTCATCCACAATGTCGACAAATATGTCGCCTGGAGCGAACGAGCCAAGGAGCACCATCTTTTCCACTGTATTTCCATCTCAGTGTCCATTAGCTTGGACAAGGGAATGTGCCTCTTGTACACCTCGAAGTAGTTGTACACCTTAGTGTCCATCTCAGTGCCTCTCGTCTCCCACCAACACATACATGATTATGGCCTTCCAGCCGTGAATGGATCTAGGCAGACCATTGAAGCTTCTCCTCCGTGGCCAATGCAGGAGATTATATTGACGAAGCCACCACAAATCTTATGCCTCTTTGGCTTAACTTATACAGCTCATAAAAATCTTCAGGGTCGACTCCATCTCAATTTGTTGGAAACACAACATGAAGCTCGTGATGGGTGCGTAAATATTCGGTGACAGCTGAGCCCACCGAAGTCCCGTTTACTTTAAATACTAGCTTCACCAAGAAGGGGTGAAGAGGGAACCTCAAGCCTTCGGAAATATAGAAGGTAAAAGCTCCTAAGTAACCCTCTCCTAGAATGAGCACATAATCGGTCATCCTTGGCTTCCGAACCCTGGCGTGAGGCCCCACGAACACCTTCGATTCCTAGGCCTCCTCGGCTTTACCACCTCGACTCCGCTCACAACAGAGATCATGGAAGAGTAGAGAATCCGACAAGATGCGGAAGGCTCACCCTTACCCTTTCCTCAGCCGTGTTCGAGTGCTCAACCTCCTTGTCATCATCGTAATCACTTAGGTTGTCCACATCGGCACCAAATTCTTCTACCATCCTCAGGGAGACCTTTGACTTCTCCACCTCCCCACTTTCCTCGGAGTCATAGTACTCATCAGATTAAGAATCCAAGGGAGGCATCCCGGATATGTACGGGGAATCAGATGAAAACGGTCATCCTTGGCACATTATCGGTCATCCAAGGGAGGCATCCCGGATATTTATAGGCTAGAATGAGCACATTATTAGCCATCCTTAGCTCCCGAACCTTCAGATCAAGGTACTTGGTAGTATATATACTACTTCCATCAAGGTACTGTAGGACCACAAGTAGAATTAATTCTTCTACTACCTAATCATCACCCCATTATCAAAGAAGTGAAAATAAATAACCAAACAAATTAATGGTATATCAAAATTTGATAAAAAGTACTCCCTCCGTCCCTGAAAATACTTCCATTTCGCTTTTCGAGAGTCAACTTAAATCACTCTTAAACTCTTACTTTATATATCAAAACTTTATGAAAATTGAATTTTTTTGCAGGCTTTGTAGCGATTTTAATGTAGTTCCTGAAT